AGTTAAATCGAAAGAGTATTTCCTGTGAAGGTCTTTCTTTTTAAACTACTGGTCAATTGTTGTATCCTTATGAATCAATGCTTCACAGATCACAGGTTTTTTCCCCCATAATCTCTGCTGCATCGATCTCATAATTAAGATCTCTATAATATATCTTGTACGATGCATTATTTCGATCTTGTTCCTCTTCTAGTAATGCTTCGTATCTAAACACCTTATAAGTGAGTTCTACTAAGTCTCTGAACTCAGTCGAGTCAAACTTCTTTCGAAGCCTAAACTTTAAGCCATTTTGAGCCAATCTCACGAATTCTGGCTCTGGTAGGATGACTCTACATTTATTTCGAGCCCTTTTAAATCTGAAAATAAACTGAGTGGCCTTCTCGTCAGGCCTTTGACTCAATCTTGCCAAGTCTGCCATGGAAACCTCTGGCTCCGATTGGAAGAATTGGGCATGAAATGCCTCTTCCATTTGATGCCAAGTCTGGATGGACCCAGGTGGAAGGTTAATATACCATACAAATGCTCCCCCAGTTAAGAAATTTGGGAATAACCTTAATTTCATATAGTCATTATTAGTGAATTCACCGCATTGAGCAGCAAACCTAGCAACATGCTCCACTGTTGATTGGTTTCCATTCCCATAAAAAAGGGCAAAGTCTGGTATCCTAAAACCTCTCGGGTATTCATGTACCCTGTTCACCCATTCTGGGTATGGTTTCCTGTACACTGGAGTTTGGACCCCCCGAGCCGTTGGTCCACATATCTCTCTAACAATGCCAGCAATTTGGTCCCTAGGGACTATATTTTGTGCCTGTTGAACCACTACTGGAGGGGCAAACACAGGATTTGGCGGGCAAACTTGTGCCTATGGTCCTCTTGGTCCATAAGGTGGTATATTTGGGACTGGTTGTCCTTGTGGTGCAGGTTGCTGTTGGGGGTGTGAGTGACCCTTTTGAGCTTGTCCTGCGAAAGGACCTGCGAAAGGTGCTGGAACTGGTGTTGTGTCTCTTCCATTTGTAAGAAAACCTTCCAACCCCCCGGGTATAAATTCGAATAAGGGATTAATGAAACCCCTTGTGCCAGGTATGGCTTCAAACATGGGATTTGGAACCATTCTTATGCCATTTTCTTGTACTAGGCCATATCCACCAAATTGCATGGCTTCACTGTTAAGTACTGAGACATTTTGACCTGCTATAGGCCTCGGAATAGGCTCGTACCAAGACTGAGGTGATGGTCTTTCATAGTTCTGATTACTAGTTTGACTATTAGAATGCCCATTAACTTGCATAGGCTGTTTATCTCTAGCCAATCTTTACTGAGGGATATTTAAAACTTCCTCTATGTGTCTTGCGTTTATTGTTTGGTGATTATTCATTCGATCCAAAAAGGATGTTACCCACCTTTCCATCGTGTTTATTAACTGTTGTCCTATGGCATCTACTAGGCCACCCCATGGATTTATTGGCTGAGTAGATGGAACAGTGGATGGTGTAATTCCTTGGTCTCGTCCAATATTTCGAACATGTGGTACTTGTTCTGAAGTACTGGTCTGTTCGACCATAGGTTCTGATAAAATGGGAGTTTCCACAGGATATGTTATCACATTATCCTCTAGATTAGGTATCTCTACCTCTCTTTCCACGCCTTCTTCCAAGTGTTCATTTTCTCCTTGTCTCCTACGTCTAGCCATTTCAATTAGTCCCACTGGGCGTGCCAAAAATATATGTTGGCTTTTTGGCTTTCGAAGGTTATTTTTGTAATCGTGAGCATGCCAGCAAAGATCAATCAGTCCTTACAGAATATTAATTGCCAACCAATTATTAGACGATTGTGTTTTAGTTCTTTCAGTCTCAATGAAGATGACTTTTACTAGTTGCTTTGTTTAGGAAAATTAAGTAGACAATAACTAAATGAAGAACAATTATAAGAACAATTGAAGTATCTCATTAAAATGAAAAACTTACAATGATCCAAACTCAGCCTCGTAGAGATTTACAGCGACAATCTACTACCTGAAACTACTCCTATGAACGAAGTGCAGTGTAGGAATTTAAAGTACAAGAATGTAAAGAACAGGAAATGTAAGACTGGAAATGTAAAACTGAAAGGAAAAATAAGTAGAATAAGAATGATTTTTTGGATCTGAGTCTGGGGGCTTTTTCTGGGGCCTTCTCTACTATTTATATTGTTCAAGGATGACCATCGAACCGTATTTCTAAACGTCGAACTGCTCTTCCATCATCGCTGATCATGTTGCCTCAAGATTAACTCCATTACGCCATTACTTGCAGTTAAGCTTCCCTCATAAATTTGAATTTGAAATGTGAGTAACTGTTGAAACCAAATCACCTTGCATCTCTTTGTTGATCCATTGCTACTCAGATCTCGTAATAACCAATACTAATTGCCGCGTGTATGATCAGGATCAAAGACTTGAATAGTCTTCCTATATTATCCTTATTTTGCCACGCGTCGAATTGTAATTGGCTTGTACAAAATATGTAGCCAACAAATACAATCATAATCCACACAAATCACAATTCATTGACTATCCGATAGCAAAACACAAATTATTGAAACAAAATTAGGGTGAACAAATTTGGGGGGAAAATTAAGGAAAAATTATTCAATTAAATTATATCAAAATTAAGGTAAAGAAATTAGGATAAAATTATTCGATTAAAATATGATAAAGAGATAAGGCAAAAACATTAAGACAAAATTATTTATTCTATTAAAATATTATATATATATATATATAGAGAGAGAGAGAGAGAGAGAGAGAGAGAAGAATTTTTTTTGTTATGGTAAGGTGGTGAATTGTTGACACGAAATTATATTTGGACTAATTATATAATATATATTTATATATATTTCAATTTATTTGGACTGAATATATGAAAATTTAATTGAACTTAACAATTCTTGTATATCTATTGGGCCCAACAGATTTTTTATTGGCCTCTTAAACTAAGCCTAAAAAAAATAAATAAATAAATAAATAAATAAATTTAAAGTTTTAATATAATATGGAACTACAGATTTGGAGTCCTATTTTGGGCCAAAATTTGGAGGCCCAAGTCACAGGCCTTACCCAGGGCTGGCCATGGACACAAGGCTCATTGAATATACATTCGAGGTTTGTAAGTGGGTTCATAATATTTTTCAATTTATAATGACTAGAAATGATAGAGTGATCCTTGGATGTTTTTGGAATATGGTCACGTGGTATTTTAAAGTTTGTGATTAGTGTAGAAGGTAGGATTTATGATTTTGTGTCGTGTGATTAAAGAATATGATAGGACATGATATATGATGATTAGTCTTAGAGTATGAACACATGACACTCCAAGAGTATTGAATAAATTTTAAAAATGATGGTACATGTGATGTGATATATGCATATATGATTATTTTATTTTATTTTAAAAAAAATAAAATTATAAATTCTATGATTAAATTCAAAATTTAAGTTAAGCAGTTGAGAAATTAAAGGGGGGGGGGGTCAATTACAAATACATCTTCTGAAGTTTGTTTAAAGTACAGATTGTCCCATGTGATTTGAAAAATTGCAATTACTCCCTTGTTAGAATTTTTTATTAACAGGATTAACTAAAAAAATAAAATTTATAAATGCTCTCCTATACAATAATAAAATTATCTAAATTATAAATTGAAATATATTTCTAATATCATTAAAAATTGTTAACTGACTTAATAATTTATTAATAAAATGGATGATTTATTATAAAATTAGAATTCTCAATGTAATTTCTAGAATTATAGGGGGGCGATTCATATTTTAATCAAACCTCAAATGATGTATTTGTAATTTATCCAAAAAAAATTGAATTTAGGGCTTAAATACCCACCTAATTAGCTATGGGATACTTTGGGAAAATTAAAAAATGAGACCCGAACACCAAGTTGGGCCTTCTGTTTTTTTTTTTTCCTGTTCAATTTATTTCATCTTGTTCAATGTTATTAAATTAGAGAAAAATTAGCATTAACATAAAGTATAAATCTTTTTCATCCTTAGCAGTGTTTGGCAAGATTGGCCAATATCAGTAATGGCAAAATGTTGGAAAAATAAATATAATTAAGTTAGAAAAAAATAAGCGTTACTATAAAAGTAAAAATTTTGCTATATCAAATGCAATCATCCTACTCTGATGTACATTTTCAACTTGCGCCAAACACTTGCAATTTTTTTTTTGTAACACTTCATAATTTCAAAATTTGTGATAGTAAATAATAGTTTGTATTGACAACATGTTCTAAAAAATTTAGTCCCAAAAATGAAAATATAATTGCGAATTGCCATCAATCCTATTGAGTAGTGTGTAGTCAAACATTATACAATATCATATTTTCAAAAATAGTGAATATCACTACAACAAAATTTGCCTATAACCACGTTTTTGAGACAACGTTTTTTTGACAAACGCTGTGGAAAGCATAAAGTGAAATTAAAAACACGCGTTATTATCCTCTTATAAGCACGCGTTTCGCTTTATAACGGTGCTCCGTCTCCATTTCTCTTTCCGTCTATCATTCTCTCTCTATTGTTTTCTCTATCTCTCCGCATACTTCTTGAGAGATTCATCAGTCGCTACCCTCCCTCTGGTCTCGTCCTCTCTCTCTCTCTCTTTCTCAGATTTGGTCTCAAACACATGATTTACTATTTTCCTCGCTCTTCGATCTGGCCTCTCTTCAGTCGAATTGTACTCTTTTTAATCTTTTCACTTGCTATTTTTGGTCTGCTCTCTTTTCAATAGAATCTCATTCACTTTGATCTTTCTGTTTTTCAATCTCATTATTTTCAGTTTTTTCAATCTATGTTTGTATATTGGTAGAACATATTTTTATATCTGCATTGAAACATGCTTCCTGTAGACAACAAGATACGATACAAAGACTTGGGGGATCTTCAAATGCTTTTGAGATGATTTGAGTCATCAGTTATGAATATATTGTACATCTACATCTGATTTCTTTTGGTGTTTCTTTGTTTTCAGTTGAAGGGTCTTTCTTGGACAGATTCTACAAATCAACTGCAGCCATGGATCCATTAGAGGTTTTGTCTGTCTGATATTTTCATATTAAACTAAAACATTTTGATGATAGTATTTTAGTTCTTCACAACTCACATATTTGACCATACAATCTTTTGTAGCGTGCTGCATTCCTTGAAAAAAATAGGAAGATGGAAGTAGCTCATTCAGTAGCTGCTACTGCTGGTGAAACTGAGGTAAGTTTCAGTTGGTTGAATTGCAATTTAAGTAGGTTGTAATCAGCTTCACTATTTTACCATGGTCCATAGCATTTTCTTTTCAGTCATTGTCTCATATAAGACTGGTCTAAAGAGATGAATCTGATTGTCTTGTATAGATTAGGCTCATTCTAAGGAGTTGGACCCCATTTAATGGTTCCCAAACTATGAGGTCTATCAAAGGGATCCTATGGCCTGTAGAAGTAATATGCTATAGAACATGATCTTTGACATAGATTTTTGAAATATATTAATCATTTTTTCTTATCAGATGATGAATGGATAATTAAAAGAAATACGGCCAAGCGAGCAGCGTATGCAAACAAAAAGTTATCTATGGCCCATGATGAAATGAATCATCATGGTATTAGTTTATATACATAACGTACAATAGCCTCCTTATATCTTTACTACAATTTGACCTTGAAAATTAACTAGCCTTTGTTTGATTGATCATAGAAAACAGGGGAATTGTCATTGGAAGATGCATTGACTGAGCTATTTTACTGATAGTCTATATTGAAACAATATAGAAATAATTACCTCTTTTGTTTAACATTTCCTCTTTTGTTTTTTTGTTTTTTTCATTTGCGAAAGTTAGCAACCTGGGGGATTGAACCCCTTACCTCACCCTTGCAAGCACCTAAGTGCTGCCACCCATGCCACTAGGCCACAAGGAAGGTCATCGACTTTCCCCTTTTGTTTGTGTTTCTTATTGTTTCCACATCTGCTATCTTTTTGCTAAATGAACTTATGGTGTTGAATGCAGGAGTTGCCTTTTGTTGAGGCAGTCATTCTTTTAGGGATTTTTCCATTTTTAATGCTGCGTACAATTCATTGTGCAGATGTGTCTACAACTATGATATTAACACCTGGACCTGTGATTGATTTTCTTCTGGCCAATCAGAATGCACGGGAACCTCGTAATATTGACTGGGCAAAGGTAATTTATTGGTAGTTTGTTCTGTATTTTATTTTTATTATTTGTCTATTGAAATTGTAATTGTTTGGACATGTTCAGGCTAAGAAAATGCTAAAAAATATGACGGTTAAGACAAGGCACAGCAACATGGAATTTAAGATCATAGGCTTGAGTGAAAAGCCTTGCAATCAGCAATTGTAAGTGCTTTGCTTGTTTAATTGCATGGAACTTCTTATTTTGATACATTACAGTTGAAAACTTATAATGCTATTTTGTTTTATTGTTTCTCCAAGTTTTTCTTTGAAAGTGAGGAATGCTGATGGTGGATAACATTGAACTTAATTATTCTGCATTCATGCCATGCCTTGATGTTGAAACACCAAAACGGCCTAGCTATCTTCCTCGTAATAATGGAAGAGAAGTGTTCCAACTTTAGGTGGAGGGTTGCAGAAATTGATAATTCTTTTACATTCCCTATTTTGCTTAAATTCAGCAACTTTGTGAACTAATTTGGCAATTAAATTGTTCTTGTTTTATTCTTTTAAAGCAACTCTTCACCCGCATCCGAATAGAACGGTGGGCAGTTGTCAACTTCTCTGCTCGTTGTGATACAAGTCATCTTTTCCGAGAACCTAATAACTATGGAAGGAACAAGGGCATTGTAAGTACCCTATATTTGTTTTTTTGTGATGGGTATTATTGTTTCAAGGACCGTAGACGAAGAAAATAGTGATATGTTGATCTTTTCTCTCAGTTCTGAAATCAGAGAGACGAAGAGGGACGGGTGGCGACACGGCGGCAGAGACTCCAATGGTACATTATGGCAAGGGATTGATACCCAAATTTTCACTTCTTTGAAACTGGGTGTTCTTAAATTCATAATCTAGAGTGTTTGCCGTATATGGGTTGTTGACAAATTTCAAGCATCTGGATCAAAGGCCTTGTGATTCAAAGGTTTAAGTCCTTAAAGGGTTGATTAAATTTTTGGTTTCCACTTGTAATTTTAGTTTGATTTTTTAAATGAAAATAGTGATATGTTGTTTTTGTGTTGTTGAGTTGGGACAAGGTTTTGTCCAGTTCAGTCAGTCTTACAACTTGTTCCGGACTTTTCAGGAGTTTAATCCCCTACTTTGTTGAGATGTCTGAAAGGGGACTCTCATTTTGCTGATTTGAAAGTGGAAAATTGTGAGCTTTCATGTAATGGAGTGAGTCAACTTGTAGGTGTTCTTTCAACTTTAAAGAGGCCACTGGATTCTCTATCTATTGGAGAAAATGGCCTTGGCAGGTTAGTCTGGCTTATGTAGTTTCAGTCTAACAGAGTTTAGACTTCCGCTCTTGTCATTTCATTTCCAGATTTATTGGTTCTGATATTGCTGTCCTCCAGCAAAGTTGGAGCACCTTTGGGAAAATTTTTGGGCATAGGTATTCAAGCACTAGAAATTGAAGATATTGGGCTTGGTTCATCTGGCTTTCTGGAACTACAGAAAGAAATAGGAGAAGATTTGAAGCTTGCCTACATCAACATGAGGTTCTACTGATGCCTAGACTTTTTCAGAACTTGTGTTGTAGCTTATTTCTGAAACATAAACTTGTTGATTAAATATTGTATAGTAAAAACTGCGGTGGGATTGGCAATGATTATAATTTGCTAACTTTTTTTTTTCTTTTTTTATTTTTGGGTTAGTTTATTTTCTTATGACTGATTCCAGTAGTTTTTGGTAGGAGCATTGGCCAGCTTGTTCCTTGAAATAAGCGTTGGCCAATGAATGGGTTATCCAATATTTTGATGGTTTTTTAACATTTTTTGGGGTATGGTTTGTGGTTAAATATAAATAAGTAGGAAATGTAACAATTTTTCTTCTATTGTTTGTCAAATGTAACATTTTTACAATCTGGAAGAGGATGAAAGAGGAATTAAACTTGTTTGATATTTTTTTAGTTTATGTGCTTCTGTATAGAATTCTTGACTTTTAGATTTGACCTTATTTAGCTAATAGTGCAATTTGACAATTAAATCCTTATTTTGCAGATTTAATGAGTGCAAATGAAATTTATTTATATTTTTTCTTTCTATAAATAGCAGGTGTTATTTTTTTAAAAAAATAAGGAGAATAGATGGCGTTTTTGAAAAAAACATCACTAAATGTCATTATATGATGTGAGCATATAACTGTAATAGAAAAGATGGCATTTTTGAAAAAACGTCACTAAATGTCGTCATATGACGTCAGTATTTAACTGTGACGGTTTTCACGTAACGGATGTTTAAGAATTATGGCGTTTTAAAAAGCGCCGGCTAAAGTCATTAGTGACGTTTAATAAACGTCATATACCTAAGACGGCGGCCGTATCCTCGACGCAAGTTACAAACATCACTTTATCCTTTAACGGCGTTTTTGAGATTTCTAGTGGCGTTTTTTAAACGTCGCTAATGCTAAAAATTCCTGCAGTGTATGTTTTTCCCTATTTGTTTTTGGCTAAAAGACTTCCATTAGTTTGCGGTGTCAAAAAAAAGAGATGGGTTTAATACTGAAGAAAATGAAAGAGAAGTCGGATATTGTTGTGATTTTATCAAATTAGTGCAATAAGTATATTTATTGGGGGTTCAAACTAGCCTTTGGTATTTTACCTTTGAAGAAAGTATATATGTTGAATGGATACAATCTTTGGTCCAAGGATCCTTTGTCCTTAAATAATCTTGTCTTCTTGTCTCAAATCATTCATAACCATTGAATATGTTTTGAGATTTTTATATCTTAAAATTCTCGTATGATCCAATGGGAGTGAGTGAATTGGGACAGAGAGACATGATTATTTGGGAACAGGATCCTTACTACAATATTTGAGAGTGGATTTGGTTGTTGGACCAAATTATAACCGTTGGATGAAATAATAGTTATCGCATTAGATATTTTTTTTTAGTGAAGTGATAAAATTTTAATAAATTAATAAATTAAATTACAACGAAAAATATCACGATCACACTATCGACTCAAATTTCAAATTTCAGACATTTTCAATATTCCTAAAGATACTTACATAAACCACCCAACCTATAATCCTATCCTAAAATCTTCCACTCATCATGGTCTTTGGCTTACTTACAGATTGTGATCATCTCCATTGCATTTTTATAATAGAAAAGTTCCATTACATCATCTAATGATAAGTGTTATAAGTGTTATGATCATTTTTAATTTAAAATAATTATAAATTTACTTTTATATTTTATAGTTATTAAATATGTAATGAAAATCTTTCATGAATGGAAAAAATCAAAGCTCTTTCCACTACATCCCAAACTTGCTCTATCTCTCTCCCTATCTCCAAACCCACTTTTCTCTTTCTTTTTTTTTTCTTTTTCTTTGTTTATGAGGATTACCCCTTATAATTATTTGATTTTTATTTAATAGTTTTGGGGATTTTCTTCTTCTTTTTCTTTTTCCATCAAGAACTTTAAATTCAACTTCTCAAAAAAAAAAATTGGCAAATAAAAAAGAACAACATTAATACAACCAAAAGAAAAGTTCATAGCTGACAAGAGATGACAAAACCTGGATTCAGATACAATGAGATCACTACCAGCCAAGAGCAAAGGATAAAGAAACAACGGGAAATTGTATTTAAGTTGTGCGGTGAAAAAATATTTTTATTTTTATGGTGGTATAAGTTTTTTGTGTGTATAATGTAAATCATTTATGTGTATGGTAGTCTATTTTGTATTTTCGAGTTGCACCATAAAAGATTCCATGGGTAAATTATACTTTGTATTTTTACGCTTTGCACGAAATCTCATTGTGATCTTTACACGTGAAATTATGATATTCAAATCTCTACACTTTTGGTCAATTGTCGATCTTCTCCTTCTATTACTCCATTGTTTCAAGTCTAACAAAATCCAGTCATGTAACAAGCATATGACTATGAAATGAAGGCAAGAGAAAAAAATCATCCATATTTTTTTATCAATACACACTTTGTCCACATGCTTAGTATGTGAGAGTACAATATATATATTTCATATGCTGAAAATAAGGACGAAAAGGTTATAAAAAAAAAAGAAGATTTTTTGAATTTTTTTTTTTTAAAAAAAAATGTAGTAGAGAAATCGAAAAGAAATGAAGACGAATAGATAGGAGATTGTGTTACTATGAAGAAAAGGGCTTCATGATTCTACTTTTTTCAAAATCCTAGTTTATCTCCTTAATCGTTCACAATTTATATTTGTTTTGGCTGAATACAATTATAATTTGATGTAAATTTTAGATCAAAATATGTACACGTGAGAAATGAGAGTGATTTTTCTCTTTTGATCTCATTTTATAGTCATATACTTGTTGCATTCCTAATTTTTGTTAAAGACTTATATGGTGAAGTAATAAAAGAAGATATTGATACTTGACTAGAAGTATAGGGAGTTAACTATCACAATTTCATATGCAGGGATTCAAAATGAAATTTGATGCAAAATGTAGGGATTCAAAATGTAATTTATCCAAATTTCATAAATATTGAAATTACTTTTTCACTGTTCAACTTATTTGCTAATTATCCAAGAAACAAAGCAACAACTCCAACAAAAAAAATTAAGGGAAATTATACCAATAGTACTTCTATTTTACTCTTTGTATCATAAAATTTTCTAAGTTTAAAAGAGAGATGATTTACAAACAGAAAATATATACTTTGGGTCGGGGGGTTATCACTTACAAAAAAAAAATACAACATTTTTTAAATTGAAAGTGTCATCCTTCTAGAATTTTTATACAGAATTTCTACAAAATGATATGACATTGGTCTTTTTTATAATAAAAGATAGGGCTGAGCAATGAATCCGTAAAATCCGTAATCCGATCCGGTCCAGTCCAATCCGATAGATTTGGATTGGTTTTTTGAATCCGTGGTTCGGTTCCGGATTGAAAATTTCAAAATCCGTAGACCACGGATCGGTTCCGGATTGAACCTCACGGTTCCGGATTGGAACCGATCCGGACCATCTAGAAATAACCTATATTTTTATACTATATGCCTTCCCACACCATATAATTTCTTATATGATATAAAAACTAAAATGTGACCTAAATGTCCTCCTTCTAGAATTTTTATACAGAATTTCTACAAAATGATATGACATTGGTCTTTTTTATAATAAAAGACATGTTTATAGATTTTTATTTTTTAAGGGCGGATATTTGGGGTACATATTGGGTGGATATTATTTTCAAATTAGGTTGGACTTTTTTTAAGCTCAAATCTTAATTTGAGAAAAATCTGAGGGGCTCGCGAGGCCCATTATATATCATGTTTTGATAATTCAAACTATTCATTTTGTAAAGTCTTTTGTGTGTAAGATTCATGAAAAAAATTAAATTAATCTGATAATTGTAATTATTTCAATTATTATATTTGTCTCCAAAAAATAGATGGTTTATTTTAAAAAATACTAGACGTTCACTTTTTTTAGAAAGCAAATGCGAAAAAAAGAAAATGTTACGATTATTGTGTCGACTTAATTTTTTTCGTAAGTGATATATATGGAAGTCCCCACAAAACGAACGATTCAAATTATCAAAATGAAACTCATTGTAAGCCCCATAGACGCCTCAAAATTTTTCAAGGTGAAGTTTGAACATGAGAGAAATCAAACCCTTTAAAATTATAGTATAAATGACATTTGGTATGGGATTTTTCAGTAATTTTTTTTAATTTAAAATATTTTTTATACTTTTAGAAT